TATAACACCCCACGGCTGAAAGGGCGAGCATGTTTAGTGTGACGGGGATTCGAACCCGCGACCCGCAGATTGCGAGTCGAGTGCCCTAACCACCTGGCCATGCCGGGCCTTTTAAAAACAGTTTAAAACACACCAATAATTTCTATACGATTTGATTTAAATACATCTCATCTAGTGGGCAAAAATGCTTATAACATTAAAAAAACTTGCATAATGACTCAAAGATATCAGATCACAATTATTTCCAAGTCCTGTATCTGCCTTACACTATATTTAATATTATGATCATTATTTTATTTCCAATTTAAATATTAGTCTTTTACACTATTACATAATCATTGATCTAAAAACATTGTATATTTTCTAACTTACACAAAACTCAATTTACTTAGCTAATAAGTACTAAACAAAATGTCTTCATTATGTTATAATTGAAATATTATTTTTGTAATGTTCAGATGTTACAAAATAAATTAACCCACACACTACGAGCACACAATACCCAAATCAAATAAACGAGCACTCTTCTGCAGTTTCTTTTTTATTATTGAAGTTAGGTGCACATCAAGAACCTATATTTCAATTGGAACTACATCCTCAACTGTCAATTATGCTAACTTTGAAGGCCATGACTCCAACTAATGCCTGACTTTGCATTTTCCATTGTAACAAGCTTTAGTAATGAGGTTAATCTCACGGTAACTTTTTTAATTAGAATGTTCTTTTTTCATAGCCATAGCCTTCAACTTTGCAGATGAGGATTTGCTCCAGATTAGCATACCTTCAATGCTCTGCTATGCTTTTTCCATATAGAACACTGAATACTTCATCACTTAGCAAATTTCCTGTATGAATATTTTTCTTTCCATGTTCCTACTATGATAAATTATCTGTGGCAGAACTGTATTATGAAATGGTTAAAAATTCACCCTGAACCAAATACATAGGAACTAAAAATATCACCCACGGCAGTACGACTCAAACCTGCAGCAACATGTAAGTATATTAGTATTCACAAATCACTCAAATAACAAAAGATTAAATTTCTGTAAGATTTTTTTTTTTTCTCAACAAAAATTTAATGCTTAAATATACTCAAGTTTCTGCATCCTATATAAGTTAATCATGATGATTTATTTGTACTTAAGCACAAAGCTACACAATAGGCTATCTTTGCTCTGCCTGTCACGGTTATTGAAAACTGGTTTCTAGCATTGTAATTCCACAGATATACTACCACTGTGTCATGTTGAATACATATGGTTCAATATATTAAGGGAGAGATAAAGAGATATACATACATACAAATATATATACATAAAGCAGAATCCTGGAATAAACAGTGGAGAAAAATTACAAATACATATTGCAACATAAAATCCTAACTATCTATAAGTTTATATACAGCCAACTTTACAACTGTAAGTTACTTACTTCTTTCCTAAAAAGATACAAGTTACAAAAATAGAAATACAAGTTTTATGTAGAGCTCATAGTTTTTCTTTAACAGTTTAACTTTTCTTAAAAGCAATTTAAAATAAACATAATAATATTATTAAAGATTTTTTTTACTTTACTTTCAGTTAAAAACAAATATTGACAATTAAAAGTTTACTAAAATAACCACTTTACCATGTGTTCCCAAGTTGTATCTGTACTCATTCTTAAAACTGCTAAATGTGGACTTGCTGTCAGAGACAACCCTCTCTTGGCATTTTTATTCAAAGGGTAAAGGTATCCTCGAAATTTTATAGTGTCTACCTTTTCTTTACTAGGAAGACTGTGATTTGTTAGTGGTCTTCTTGAAATCCATTCACTGTGTGTAGTCTTATTGAGTAATGAAACCTAAATATAAACAAAGAGCACAGATAGGTCATGACCTCAAGTTAAAATATGACTTACATACATATTCATATTAAAACAATGAGTACAAGTTAAAAATATCTATTACTATTACAAAAAACAGGCAAAGAAGTTGTTAACAATTTTACAGGTAGAGTAAAAACTGAAGTTAATGAAACTTAAAATACTCCAATTCAAACATTCACCTTCACACAAAAAAAGTTATTACATTTATTACAAAACAAAATTACTGAAATTAAATTAACAATTCAACAAGCAAGAATAAAATTAAGGAAAAAGAATTACTACAAATTCATTTCTTATTCATGAACAACTTATGAAAAATTAAAAACTTGAACAATCTGTCACATTATTTCACTCTGCTAAATTTTGAATTCTTGAAGAAAATAACGAGACTTCAGTAGATAGTGTATTTTCCAGGTTCAATTTTCAAACCATGTAAACCATCTATAAATAGAACTAGCCTTTATCATTTAACACTACTTGTGTCATTATTTTATTTTAAAAATAGACTGAAGAAATCATCACACGCGTATTTTATCCTATAACTGATGTACATTTTGAACTATTACACAAAAGATGCAAATATTTTAATATGACTATATTAAAAAAATATAAAAGCTTATTTTTTTATAACATAAATGCAAAGTTAACATTTTCTTACTCCGAACATTTCTGGTAGCTACTTACCTCCTCCTAACAAAAGCTATCTCAATCCTGATCTGCCCTCTATGCTCAAAAAAATTTTGCTACAGTGCACCAGTCTTAAAACCCCATCAGTTTTGCACCATTTTAGAACATGTGTTAATCATGTGACTATTCTCCACCATCTATACTGGTGAACCTAGCTCCCTCTACTATTCTAGAATAATCCTCACTTTCCAGAATTGGCAGGCACAAACTATAAAAACCAGCATCCCAATGGGGTGGAGGGTGGAAAGTGGGTGAGCAGGGTTTAGTACCTATTGGAAATACATTTTAAGAGTAAGAAAATGTTAACTTCCAAAGCACTACTACCTCCACGTACCCAAAACTAGAATCCAACATTGTCAAGGTGGAGGAGATGGTGAAGGCGCATCAATCTCAAATCGAGTGGAAAGAGACTGCATTGAAAAAAACGGGAGTGCTAGAATATGAAAAGAAAGCCCACCAGTGGGGTACAGTTCTACTTCTGGAACAGGTATGCTCTTTGCCCAGCAATCAATACAGTAACACAGTTGGGACAGAACTGGATTTACAAGTACCAGTGAAGTCAATAAAGAGACGTACAGCACTATGTCAGTGTAAGAAGTGCTGAATTACTGTGACATGAATCAGTATGGTGTTGACTGACATGGAAAGGCTCATGTGTATGCAACCACTTTCCCTGATATGTACGTGCCAAGGGAAGTGCCATGGGTTACATCAGATTACACCAAGTGCGGAACATCTAGGCAAAACATCCAGTGGAAATGCTTTGTATAAGATATAGAGATCAACAAGTGTGGTCTGCCCAGGCAAAAACATTCAGGGGAAGAACCTGGATACCTAGGGCTATGAAAAATACAAATTAGTTATAAGCTTGATCATGAGAGTCATCATAACTAGCCCTCTGTCCATATCATAATGACCCTTTGTAAGAAACAAGATGTAGTACCAAACATAGTGATGGTGAGTCATAGTATGGTGCTAGTAAATGAGCTAGAGAGAAAAACAAAATAACAATATGTGGCTAAGAGTTTAAGGACCTTCAAATGTATTTGAATAGGCCAAGTACAGTCCACTTGGGCAAAAAACATCCAGGGGTAGCACCTTGGGTTAAGTCAGGTTATGCCAAATGCAGTCCATCCAAGTAAAAAACATCCAGTGGAAGCACCTTGCATAACAAATATATGATCAACAAGTGCAGTCTGCCTGGGCAAAAACATTTGGGGGAAGTGCCTTGGATACTGAATGTTAGTGTGTAATTCATTTTCCGGAACTGTAATGATTATAACAACTCCTCGCTACGTGGGTACAATGTCTACCACTCCAGTGACTGGAACCAGAATTGATAAAAACTCCCATGCCCCACTTGAAGAGAAGGGGGAGAATACTCGTTAGGGAGTCCAGAGGAATGACACACCGGAGACAGTACAATGAGTGTCTACAATTCCCTATCTTGAATGAATAGCGGATAGACCTCAATTGCAGGAATCATGGGTCAGTAGGTATAGGCAGAAATCCCAATCTGCTTTACCTATGAGGACCATGAGTGACGGTCCATTGTAAATTGAAACTTGCAACTTTTGGTAAACAAAAAAAATAGATACACATACCACCAGACAAACTGCCAGCAATCATACAGAAACATCCCATTTCAACAGTGAGCATCATAGAATTATTAATATCTAGTGAAAATATAACATGAAGCATACCTGACAAGGCAACACCCGCCACCAGGTGGGATCCTGAAATATGATATATATCAACTAAAATATATATGAAAAGTAATATGTTGACTTACCCCAGTTAAAGGCAAACAGATGTGTGTAGTATTGCCAAGGAGGAAGACGATACCTGCCCAAGGAAGACACAGATAATATGCAACAAATGTATTGGGAGTTGTCACATCCCAGTCTGAACAATCTCCTCCAAAGGCAAGCAGCTAAAAACATAGATGACAAATTGGGTGCAAAGAACCACTGTGCAGACAGTGACTTTCCATGGACAAGTCAGAATAAACCAGTCATATGAGTTGACGAACCAACCAGTGAGTGCAATAGGAGACAGATCATGGGACACAGAGAGAATCCTTGGAACAAATAAACAGGAATGATAACATGAAAGGAGGCAGTATGAGCCACATAACATCTCAGGGAACAAATCAGATGCTGAAGTATATCTGGAATTGAACAGGAGTACAGGCAGGAAATGGAAGGTAAGGAAATAGGAGAGAAGGCCAAATCACCTGCCTGTGGAAAGCATATGTCTAAGGAAGGAAGACCAGATCAGGAAAGAGTATAACATATGAGAAAAGGGAAAGAATGCAGGAAACACCCGTGGCATAAATATTGGAACGACAACAACCGCAAGCAAGGAGAAGGAGGATGTAAGGTGTCATGGTATAAAAGACTGTTTGGTTTAGATATTAGTGATTAATTTATATACTATTAGGATATGAATTATTAGCTACATTTTTATGCTATATTTATTTGTAAACCATGAAAGGTTTGTCTGTGTGTTTGTAGTTAAGCACAAAGCTATACAATGGGCTATCTGTGCTCTATCCACCACGGGTCTAGAAACCCAGTTTTTAGCATTGTAAATCTGTACACATACTGCTGTGCCACTGGGAGGTACCATGAAAACAAAGTAGTTTAATTAAATGTAGAATGTAACTCACTAAAACCTTGTGATGTGCAAAAAAAGATGCCCATGGAGAGAAGGCTTGGGATAGTTTGTTTTGAATTTAGCGCAAAGCTACACGAGGGCTATCTGCGCTATCCGTCCCAAATTTAGCAGTGTAAGACTAGAAGGAAGGCAGCTAGTCATCACCGCCAACCTTGGGCTACTCTTTTACCA